CTAATGTGAAACGGAGTAACCCAAAGTATAGGTCAAAATATTTTTGTTCGCAAAGTTGTAAAATTTTCAAATTTGGTTATCAATTTTCTTGTTTTCTTTTTTGTTTTTGTTTTTTGTGTTCTTTTTTTTTTTTTTTTTGTAACCGCAACTCTTTTATGGCGACACTGCAAACGTGACGACAGATATAATTTGGTCAGTTCTACTTGTTCCCGACAGGCTGCAAGGCGTTTGATGGTGCAAAATGGCTGCGGGAGAAGATGACTTCAACAGACCGAAACAAGTGCACGGAATACCGTGTTTGTTAGACTGTCTGCTCGACCTGCAAGATTTATAACGTGCGACGTGTAACCCCAGGGAAAAGCATCTAGCTCGGCGCTGTATCATAATTCTGTGTTACCAGGGCCTATGCCAACCACGACATTGGAATAATATGTATATATATATATATATATATATATATATATATATATATATATATATATATATATATATATATATACCTGATTCGCATAATTCCGCACATTTAACTCATTGGAGACTGCGAGTTGATTTTTCCCTAAAATCTTTAGGAATGCACAGCACAGCGGCAGAATGTTAAATGGTGATCTGGCCACCAGCGGAATCAGCGGAAAATATTAAGAAATATAATTAGGAGGAATAAAATGGTATGACATTCTACTCTTCATCGGCCGTATTTTCAACATACTAAAGATACCCTTAAAAAGGTACCTTAAATACATTACCTCGGGCAGAGTATCTGAAATAAGCACGCATCTAATTGATGAGGGTCCCCTCGATGGGCTCGATTTTTCAAACGTTTAATATCCTTCATTGGTGGTTTAGGATTTATTGATAGACCTCTGGTGAAAAAAGAAAATGTTCTCGTTCGCGTTATTCGTAAGAACGTAAAGATGCGTGTGTTTACTACAGAATCCTAATCGCGTTAGGGAGAAAGGGATGTGCGACGAAGTTCAGATCGATTTACTAAACTGCTCAGCCAATATAACGACAGCTCATATGTCCACATATTGGTTCGATAAGAAATGCGATATTACACAAATATGTACACGGATTATTCACGTACTTGTGTAATATCGCATTTCTTACCGCACCAATATATGAATATATGAGCCGTCGTTATGATGACTGAGCAGTTAAGTAAATCGATCTGAACTTCGTCGCACGTTCCTTTCCCCCTAACGCGATTAGGATTCTGCAGTAAACTAACGCACCTTTACGTTCTCACAAATAACGCGAACGAGGATTTTTTTATTTTTTATCTTTTTCGCTAGACATCTATTACTGAATCCTAAACCGCCAATGATGGATATGGAACGTTTCTGCATTCGAACCCATCAGGGAGATAACCATCATTCAGATCTGTACTTATTTCAGATACTGTGCCCGAGGTACTTACTGTATTTAAGGTAATTTTTTTCGCACATCTTTAGTATGTTGAAAATACAGCCGATGAAGAGTCTCGTACCATTTTATTCCTCCTAATTATATTTCTTGATATGTTCCGCTGATTCCGCCGATGGCCAGATCACCATTATAATGCTTGACGATGTGCTGTGCATTCCAAATTATTTTAGGGTAAAAATCCGCTCGCAGCCTCCAATAATTCCCATTAACTCGAGGTCACACTGCTCATACTTCACAGAAAAGACCTTATGGCAAAAGTATCGGCAGACACTTACTTCTAAACCATGTTCCAAACGTGTTTGCTCCTTACATATGTATGCTTCAAACATGTCTGGAGAGTCTCTGTCTAACGAATGAAACAAAACCGAAAAGAAAAGAGGAAAAAAGAAAAAGAAGGAACGCGCTTTAGAGTGGAGTGTTTTAGGAAACCGTTTTTGCACACAAGATACGATACGATGGCTTTCCGGTATAAGAACACCGCACATGTGAATCTTCTGTGACAGCATGCGGAGTGCGTATTAGAAAGTCCATCGTATCGTATGGGATGTGCAAACACGGTTCCCTAAAGCTCCTCAGCGTGTGCAGACCATCGTTTGTATAATGTTTTCGCAGTATGACCGCGGTTTTACTCTGCTGCATACCTTTGATTCGCCCTGCGCATACGCTTCTTATCACCCCCCCCCCCCTCCCTTTTCTCCTTCCATTTTTGTTTTACATTTCAATCGTTCCTTTTCGTTTCCTTCTTTTTAGGAAGCGACGGATGGCTGCACCATTGACCGGACGTGTACACTTTACCCAAAAACGTAACTAAATACGTTACTCGTTACCGATTTGCAAGAGAAACGCGTACCTCAAAAGTAGCTGGTTACTTTTCTCGTTACTTTGACGACCAAATGCACAGCTGTTTTCGCTTTATGGTTTATTGTTGTTGTTTTGTTTCGTTAGTCGTTGAACTTAAGCAGTAGCTGCCTCTACAAGTTTTCATCGGTTATGTTTCCCCGCTTCATTAAGATTACTTCTCCGGCGACGCTGAAGAGTCGCTCTATACCGACGCGCTCGAAGGAACGGCAGTGTTGTGCTTCAGGAAGAGCTGGTGAATCTGGGGTTTCTATCCCTCGCTTTTGTTCTCTCTGCTTCTAGACTTCCAAGTTGACAATACGTTCCTTGCCTTCCCGCGTTGGCAACCTCCGGGTTTACTTTCGATCATTACACGGTTCTAGAAGATTCAACCGAAAACCTTACTGTGTTCTCTGGGTGCAGAACATTCCCAGCGCTAGAGATCGACTGACGTGTTCAGCGACAAGCTTTGCTATACTGTCATGCTGTATAGTTGTTTTTTTCGGGTTTCTCATCTGCCTTTGTCGCAATGGACAGATACTCAGGTTAGAATTAAAACCAGACTGTTTCAACATTGTTGTACAGGTTACTCCTCAAAAGTAACGAAATACCCTTACTCGTGACTTGGCCTTAAATGCCCCTAATTATGTTACTCGTTCCTTTTCCAGAAGAGTAAGTGAATACGTTAGTCGTTACCGAAAAAAGTAACTAGGGGGAAGTAACTCGTTACTAATAACGCGTTAGGTACATGTCTGGTTACGACGAGATACTACTACAGGTTGCTATGGCAACCAATAGTCACAAAATACTTCGCGGTGGAACGCAACGCAACGTAGTCAACAAAGAAATGTCCCAAACCAGAGGATGTGCTTCAAATGTTATATGGGTGCAGTCCACCCTCGTGCACAGTCTGACAATTGATTAATCAATCGCGATCCTTAAGTGTCAAAAGATTATAGGGAACACAAAAATGCGGCGTATCACTTAACCACTTTTGTCCATCGTCATAACTAGGGTGTGCATTTTCCGGTTTTAACCGAAAAACACCGATAAACATCCGTCGGTGACTAAAATATAAAATCGGTTAAAACCGAAAAACACCGGTGGTTTGATATTTTCGCCCTGGTTAAAACCGAAAAACACCGGTCGTTGCTAGTTTCCGACCTAGCGAAACCCTTTCACCGTAGAGGTTCGTCAAACGTGTTATCTCGTGGATCCTGCATTCTTCCAGTGTTTATACATGGCTTGCAGGTGGCGTCAGTCCGCCCTCCTTTCTGGGGGTCAAAAGCGTCTAGTGAACGCAGTGGAAGCTAAGCTCTCAATGCCTTTCCCCTGTTGTGTCTCCCATGGCACCCTTTTGTGGAAAAATTAACGCAGTGGAGGATAGGCTCTCACGTGCCTTTTCCTCATTGTGTATGGCCAAGTGATGTTGGTGCAAGCCATGTATTCAGAGGTTGCTGTGGTTCCTGGAAGACACTGCCAACGTCCGTGTCGTACAGGACCGTGCGTTTTCATAATTGCGGGTTGCAAACCGCAAGGAACGTGCTGCCATGAGGGCAGCACGTTCCTTGCGTGTAGATGCAAGCATGAAAGTATGCTTGCATCGACTATAATAACCAAGTGTGAGAAATAGTTGCTTCCTAGAGAAGAAGTGTATGAACTATGTGAATAAAATTGGAACTCTCTGTTTCTGATCAATCGCCTTTTTTTCACCGATAATCACCGATTTTAGCCTCGTCGTGAGACGTTCCACCGAAATACACCGGTGTTTTGAAAATAAATAAACACCGAAAAACATCCGCCGATTTTTCTCACAAATAAACACCGGAAAGTACACACCCTAGTCATAACGTAGACGTTCTTGAAAATCTTGGACCGTCACCCCGCAACTTTTCTTACACAAAAAGGGACAAACGGTCAAGGACAAAAACGGCAGAATCAATCTAACTGCCCGCTTCGTTCGTTTTCATGAAATCTCGTGCGTCGTGGAAACGGGCATTTATGTGGCAGTACCAAGTTCAAGAATAGATTCTGTTCCCCCCTCCGTTTTCGTTCGCACGCCGGCCTATAAAAGAGATCTCTTTACCAGGGGCACTGACAGATATTTTTCTTTTACTTTCACTATTTTCCTAGTTCGCATTTTATGTCCGTTATTTGGCTTCAATCGATAAAATACATAATAGCTTTAAAGAAATGACATGAAGCCATCGTCAAGAAATCATTCCGACTTAGAAGTCCGATTATTTGAACAAAGTTGTTCCATCTTGTATTGTACTCGATAGCAGTCTTTTTTTTTTTTTTTTTTAAGTCTAAGGCGGTGGTGTTTTTTTTTTTTTTTTTTTTTTAGATTATATTTTGCTCTGTTTTACCCGATTATATTTCGTTTTATTCCAGTGTTTAGTACCTCTACTCGCGGAGTAACGGTTACAAAACATCTCGGTAAGTCTGCTCCATTGGATGGCAGTGTTTCCTGTGGTCGGAATTAAAGTGTAATGGAGTATAACGCCACATCCAGCTACAAGCCAATCACTCACGTGAGCAAACCACACACATACGCACACACACACACACACACACACGAAAAAAGAAAGGAGGACCGCAGTGTTCCGTTCGATCGCGGTCGCGGCCAGAACTTTTTTGTTGTTGTTTTTGTCCCAAAGAAGGCGAGGCGCGCGACAGAGTCCAGGACGATAGATATATTGGCGTCGTCTAAGCCCGGAGACGGGAAGATGGCGTACCGGACAAGATGTGTCGGCAGGCCGGTGTCCGACGCGTCGATCAGGGCTATCGATCGGCACCAGCACCAGCGGGGCGGCGGCGGCTGCTGCGGGACGCCCGGACCACGTCCGTCGTCGCTCCAGCGGCCCAGCCCGCGTCCGATCAGCCCCGGGGTCGATCAGATGCGCGGGAGAAGGAAGGGCTCCTGCCCAAATCGCACGCTGGCGGGGCCCTGCAAAGACCGCAACCGGGCTTGTCTCGTCGCATTCCGAAAGAAAACAAAAAAAACTTTATTCCCTTACAGACATATATCTCGAAGGCAGCCTCTATATACATCCTGCAAGAGACAGGCTTCAATAGAGGAACTGTCCGAGGCGTACTTCTTCCTTGAATAACAATCCCGTCCCATGCAGAGCGCAAGTTTGTCTGCTTCTTTTGCACGGGTTGTGGTGACGTCAGAACGCCGAGCTTTGATTTGCTCTGATTGAAGGATCGTGGGTAGACCTCAAAGCAAGCTGCCTTGAGGTCTACCCACTATCTATCCTTCAATCAGAGCCAGTCAGAGCGCTACGTTCTGACGTCGCCACAACCCCTGCAAAAAAAGCAGACAAACTTAAACTGTCTGCGAACAGTGCTTGAGGCGTCTTTCCGCACATCATTTTGTCATCGTGCCTGAAACAAACTTTTAAAAGTCTGATGTACGAGCGACATGTCACTGCGTTAACATTGCCCCACCTTCTGGTTAGTGGGCATCACCATGATGAGACTGCCTCTGCAGTGCACATGCTTGTGCATGGGGTGCAAAAAGGTGTCACACTGCTCGTACACGTCGTGCAGCAGACACGGTATTCGCTGCACACACGATGACGAAATTATCTGCGGTCAAGCGTCAAGCATATTCGAAGGCTGTTTGCTTCATGCATGCTTCGAAGATGTTTGCAGAGGGCGTTTTGGATGACCAGTGTGACTGGACCCCCTAATCCATAAGGAAGATAACCTTTTTTTTTATGGTGTACCACCAGTGCATTCGCGGCTTTAAGTTCTGAGAAGAAACAAAAAAGAGAAAGAAAAATGAACTTGCGCATCTAATGATTGCGGGGTACGAGATCAGGAACTAATTAAAGTTCCGTTCTTAGAAATGTTTCTTAATACCCGTGTCAGACGGTGTTCCAGAGATCCTTTTCACTAAGCTCCTTTATTAGATCGGCCAATCTGCTCGCGATGATGAGTGCGTGCACGTGCCCTACGGCGTGCGCTGGTTCGCCGATTTTGTGTAGAGGAGCTTAGAGGGAAAGGATCTTTAGAACGCCGTCTGACATGGGTATTACTTCCTTTATTTTTGTACTTTATTATCTTCCCGCCTCACATTGTTTTCGCGTGTTTCTTCATAAGCCCGCACATAGTTCGTGAGGTGTAAATGCACATAGTACCAGCTTCTTACTAAACCAAGCAACTGCAAACACCGTTCTTTTTTTTTTTTCCTTTATTGTGGCACTTGTTGTCTGTGTTAAGTTTCACTAAATCTTAAGTCTCAGGTAATTGCACTACACAACTTCTGCTTTTTTTTTTCCTTTAAATCTATAGGTGAAGTCGCGTCGAACACAGTACTGAAAGAGGTTTATTATTGGCGGCCGAAATTGATAAAATTATATCCAAATGCGCCTTAGCGGTCAATAACGCGCGAAACATTACATTTTTTATTTGTAAAATAATTTTGAAAACTTTGTCTCTTTAAAATTATTTAGTTCATGTTAAAATGCTAAAATAATACATTTAAAGTCGTCCAAAAGTAACGAAATGTTTCCAGGATGATGTTTGCGAAAGTTTGAGAGAAGGATACAAATTCTAAACGTAAATATATATGCTGTCAGAATAGAGTATACGTAGATTGTCCTAAAAACGCGTCGAGTATATATCTGTGGTTAATATAGTCTTGGATCGAGGGCGAAGCAAAGATGACACGGACGACAATCGTGAAAACCCTGCCGTTTCTCCCCGCTCTGCGGATTTTATTTCTTTAAAGTACGCATCTGAACTTCCAACCATGAAGCGCGTTGTCTTTCGTGCGGTATGCGTCACAACATATACGACTTCGACAATAAAACACGACAAAAAAATACGATGTATCCCACTGCCTAAATCAAAAAACAAAAAAAACCAAAAAAAAAACCGCCAGGTTTAAACATATTCGCGGCCTCATGGTACGCCCAAGTTCCCTCCGTTCATCGCATGCAGTGATGAACATTCCGTGTTTTCTGCGGAAAGTACACACACTGACATTTTTTTAGAGTGCATCACTGCCGTGCGCATTTAAAAAGCACAAAAAAAAAACACAGGAAAAAAAAAAAAGATGTGACTCGAAGATTGCGCTGACCCCAGACCGTTGTTGTCAGGTGCTGCAGTCGCGGATGCTGCAGTGGCAGCGCGTGATCGAAGCTGGCAGAAAACGATTCCGTGTGAATTTTTTAAAGAAAACATATGTAAATAAATTGACGCAAGTAATGTTCACAACGTTTTCAGATATAATATCAATTCACATTTTCGTTAGCACATGTGCGGAACAAAATCAAGTTTTTAGGATAAAGGCCTGTTCACACATGTAGCGGAGCGCTACACTCGTAGCGCTGATCTCTCCCTAAGCGCGTGCTGACGGGAGCGTTCACCAGCTTTGTGTCGCACCGTCAATACTGTTGTTCATGGCAGACAATAAGTAGCAGACGACACGTGAGAAGCTCTACATTAGCGCTTCGCTGCATGTGTGAACCGGCCTTAACGCAGCTTTTGTTCTAGCAAAACGTTTTGCGTGGTTTACATTAAGAATAAAACTATATTAGAATATAAGTAACTTTTCTGTTAAATTTGTCTTCCATACTATTTTCGGTGAGTACACTCTAAGAAACACCGGCGCGTCTACTTAGCCTCAAAACACTCGAAGAGCCAATCTCTGCGATCTAGGAAATTACCATGAGGCGCCACATCTGTTTAGATCTCAAAATTAAGTTTGCACTGTGGCACTACGCAATGCAAGCATGACGCTTTGCATTGCGTAATGCCACAGCGCACACTTCATTTTTAGCTCTAAACAGATGTTCCGCGTCATCATTCGCTGAGCTGATTTCGTAGATCATAGAGATTGTCTCTTCGAGTGTTTTGAGGCTAAGTAGACGCGCCGGTGTTTCTTAGAGTGTAGGGCGGTATTAAAGAAATAACCTGCCGTGTAGAAAAAAATATTAGTGACAAGAAACTCGGCCTTTTGAATGAAGTGTATCTTATGAACCTGATTTATTTATTATATCAATCTGATTTATTTCCTTTTTTTTTCGATAATATTCTTTTTCCATCCTAGACGTCAGGATAGCAACAACGGTATCAGATCTAGTTACGTGGGGCGTCAATTCATAATGTAACGTAACGTTTCGTAACGCTGTCACGACGTCACGCGACACCACAATCGACATCCAACATCACGTGAGATGTGACGCCGTGCTGCGCGGATTTGCGCATATATCGCTGACGTCACTTCAATGACGTAGCATCCACAGCCATTGCGGTGCCTGCCTCCCACCATGCAACTTGCGTTACTTCAAAAGAGCAAGTAGGAATGACCACCAGCGTGATTCCATGACGTCACGTGCAAGCAACGTGCACATTTGGGCGATAAATCAGAGGAGTGCCACAATTCTTTATTTTCTAAATACCAAACGACGCTGACAGCCAAGATGTTCTTTTGCTAACTTCACCACGCCGAACTGTGGGCCGAGCCTTCAAAGCCGTTCTGAACTTTCTGCCTGGTGGACCCTCTGCGAAGGGGCATCACGAACAAGGAGCCGAACCAATTCTATCCGTTTGGAGGCTATAGTCGATCGGAACTTCCCACCGTACCGATAACTCGAACCCCCAGCTACATTTCCACCGTATCTCTTTTTTCCATCCTCGGTTTCCCGATCCCCCAGCCGGGTAGAGGCTTGCCCCATAAAGGACGCCCGCACCTCTCCCGGTTCTCCCATTTTTCTCCGGGCAAAACCAGACAAACAAATAACAAACAGATAGGGAGCTTATCCGCAAGGAAGCCTCCATTCATGCTAGCGTTATTTATTTTATATTTTTTCTGCCGGCATTACAAATTGCGATCTGTTCGCGTGCACGGCTTCATCAAGCTCCGCATCTCACACCGGTTCACCGAGAACAATCAACGCGCATTGCAGGGAGGACCCGAATCCGGCGCTGCTGTGCATCTAATTGCCTTCCCTGCCAGTACAAAGCCCCTGCCGCCCGAGAACACGGCCCGTTTTTAGAGGCTGTCGTCATCCCGCATGACAGGCTCCATGCGCCTGGTCTTCGCTGTAATTGGCGTTGGCCCGAAAGCAAGCGTTGCTGTAGCTATACAATGGCTCTATTCTAATTAAAGTACGCCATTGAGAGCAAACTATGTAGAATGCTTGGGGAGATAGCATCTGAGGAAGTAGTTTACCCTCGTTCGTCGTGACACACACACTCAGAACCTGCAGCCATAGCTAAATATTAATTAGAGGCGTGCAATTATAGCTTCGAGGGCGGGGCGAGTTCCGAGCATCTCATTATCGCACCACAGCCAATCAGATTGCGGCATTAGTTGATAAGAAAGCCAAGGGACCAATCACAAAGCGGGAACGTAATAAGCCAAGTCCTCACGTTTCTTGGGCTATCCGAGAGTATGAGGAGAGCAAGTCGTCTGCTTCTTGCGCAGGGGTTGCGGTGACGTCAGGACGACGCAGAGTTCTGATTGGCTTTGATTGAAAGGATAGTGGGTAGGCCTCAAAGCTAGATGCCTTGAGGCCTACCCACTATTTTCCTCAATCAGCCAATAAGAGCTCTGCGTTCTGACATCATCGCAACACCTGTGCAAGAAACAGACAAACTAGCACTCGGCATAGCTTCCACACCGTGAAAAAACATAAATATATAGGGAGTATTCACTGGACGCCATATTTGTGGGTGCTGTTTAGAGCGCATGCTCAGAACGAGCTCACATCAATAGGCTGCTAAGACCGGCACTCTTGATGGTGCGGAATGCACGTTTCAAAAGAACTGTGGAAGCTCGCCGTCAGCACGCGCTCAGCATTCGCGCACACAGCTATGGCCGCCAGTGAATACTTCCTATACTACGTTTTACCTGACAATGGGCCACAGTGGATGGTAT